CGCTGGTTATGTATAAATCTTCTTTAACGATTTTTGGAAAATTCAAGTTACGGAGCTGAGAGTTGGCACAGTTGGGTGAGGGTGCTGACTATGAATGGATCGGCTTTAGCCGGGTCAGCCAGCAAGTTTTGGGGTTGCTTTAGATGATCAATCATTCGATTCAGTCAAAATTTGACTTCAGTGTTTGAATGTAATCGATATTCATTCATTCGTTTTCAAATTTTATTCGGGATTCATTCATTCGTTTTAAGTCATTATTTATTCGAATTTATCGTTCATTCAAAATATTCTATTTCGAATTCAAACGAAGTTCATCATTTGATAAACAATTCGAATCTTTTCAAGTATATTACACAGTCTGCTCAACCAAGTTTACTCCGAACTCGGATGACGCGCACGCGCACGCACGCAAGATAGCTGCAAAATTTATGACCGAAACGATGCCTGCGTTTCTTCGTTTTCTTCTGTCTTCTCAAAATGCCGGTGCCGTTGCTTGCAAAGACTCGATCCAAGCGAATGCGCCTTATAAATTGTCTCTGCGTACAGCTTTTTGTAATAACTTTCTGTTGAGCAAGTTATGGACATATATGGAGCAATGCACTCCTATTGCGCGACTCCTTTTCACAGCTACGCAATTACATTTTTCTCTTCCTTTGTTGGTTCTAATCTCAAGGAGAAAAGAGAATTGATCAGAGTCTTTCACGTACTAAATCGTTCTGTATGGAGTATGCGCGATGATTTCTTAGTTCTTTTAATAGTTCACACATTGCAGCACACTCAACTCCTGCTTGCATGCGTTCTGAAAAAGGAATTGGAATTGGAGTTCATTTTTGTATCGACATTGTCACCTAGAATATATTCAATCGCAACAATGGTTCCTGTCCTTCCGATCCCTGCTGAGCAGTGTACAACTATAGGTTTTTTTGTTCCTCGCACTCGCGAAAGCAGTTCCTACAATGAAGTGATAGATAACATACACTTAGTGGACTATCTGCACCATGCTGGTAAGGCGAATTGGTGGTACTCCACGATCTGGCCAATCTAGCCACTGATAATGTCGAACTTCTCTTGTTTCAGAACCACCATCCTTGGGGAATTTTACGCTTAATATGCTGAGGGCGACTGATGGTTCGTCTGGTGACATTGCTCTAATCTAAAGGGGCTTGTTACATAGGGACATAGTTTACATTCGTATACCTGTAAGTTGGTTATCTCTATCCCAGAAAATGTCTTCGTTTCTCCGACACGATCTGGCCAGTATGCCGAGCATTTGAATTTGCCCTAAAATGTATGCTTACATTGGGTTGCTTCGGTTGTGAGGAACATTACCCGTTCGATGCAGTTAGTTAGCATAATTATAGTTTCTGATTCTTCTTGCAACACCATCATCCAGAATTCTGTTATCGTATTATCCAACGGTCCCTGTAATATAGGCTTTGTCTAACATATCAAAACCGATAATCCGCTTTAGAACATCGCCATCTGAGTGAGAACATGTAACGATTTCTACACTTCCATATACACAAGGTCTGTGGTCCTCCTGGTCGCATCTTTTGATTGAGAGTCTCATCATCTTAATCATCTTCGGTTTAATCT